AAAAAAAAAAGAATACATGGTGTATATACAATGGAATATTCTTCAGCCATAAAAAGGAATGCAATCTTGCTATTTGCAATGACATGGATAGAGCAAGAGAGTATAATGCTAAGCAAAATAAGTCAGAGAAAGACAAATACCATATGATCTCACTCATATGTGGAATTTAAGAAACAAAACAAACGAGCAAAGGAAAAAAGAGAGAGAGACAAACCAAGAAACAGACTCTTAACTATAGAGAACAAACTAATGGTTACCAGAGAGGAGGTAGGTGTGTGGGTGGGGGAAATAGGGGAAGAGGATTAAAGAATTTACCACGATGAAATAATAAAATAAAATAAAATAAACTTAAAAAATCATTCTACAATATAGAAATTAGGCACATTTTTCTTTTCTTTTTTCTTTTTTTTCTTTCTTTTTTTTTTTTTTAGAGTTGTGGGAGGGACAGAGAGAATCTTAAGCAGGCTCCACGCCCAGCGTGGAGCCCAAGGCCAGGCTTGATCTCAGGACCCTGAGATCATGACTTGAGCCAAAATCAAGAGTCAGACACTTAACTAACTGAGCCACCCAGGCACCCAGCACATTTTTTCTAATGTAATAAAATATATATTTTTCAGATCCAAATAAAGTAGAGTTATGGTATTAATATATAGTTTTTAAAAACTGCTCATGATGAGGCAATAATACAAGAAATCATCCCTACTAAAGTCATAAACAAGACAGGGATGTTATTTAACATTCTATTGGAAGTAATAGCCAGCCAATGTAACTAGGTAAGAGGAAGATATTGCAAGCATTAAAATTGAAAATGAATAAGGAAAACTCCTATTACTTGCAGATAATAAGGTTTCCTTGCTAGAAAATCTAAATAATCAACTAAAATTTTTCTATAAACAGGGGCACCTTGGTGGCTCAGTTGGTTAAGCATCCAACTCTTGGTTTTGGCTCAGGTCATGATCTCACGGTTGTGGATCAAGCCCCATGTTGGGCACCACACTCAGTGAGGAATCTGCTTCCTTCTGCCCCTCCCCATTCATATGCATGCTCTCTCTCTTTCTCTCTCAAATAAATAAATAAATCTTTTAATAAAAATAAAAAATAAACTCTTTCTATTAATGATGGAACTCAGGTAGCAGAGTACAAAAATTTACAGAAATTAATAGCTTTCATGTATTCAAACTACATATAGATAGAAAATGTAATGAAAGAAGAAAGTCTCATTTACAATGGCAATAAAAAAATAATAAAATACCTAGTAATACACCTAACAAGAGATGCAAGCTTAAATGAAAAAAACTTTACGACAACAATGATCGATACAAAATAAGAGGAATAAATGGAAAGACATGTGTTCTCAGATAGAAACACTTGTCATTAAAGATGTTGATTTTCCCTAAGTTAATAAATAAATTTAAACGGAGTTCAATAAAAATTCCTACAAGGTTTGTTTTGTTGTTCTCCTTTTTTTTTCAAGTAGATGAATCAATCCTAAAGTTCATATTAAAAAGCAAAAACACGGGGCTCCTGGGTGGCTTAGTTGGTTAAGCGTCTGCCTTCAGCTCAGGTCATGATCCTGGGGTCCTGGAATCAAGCCCCCTGTAGGACTTCCTGCTCAGCGGGGAGTCTGCTTCACCCTCTCCCTCTGTATGCATGCTCTCTCTCTATCTCTCTCAAGTAAATAAATAAAATCTTAAAAAAAAAAAAAAAGAAGTAAAAACACCAGAATAAAAGAGTAAATAGTGAGGACCAGCACAGTCAGAATTATTGAAATACAGATTTTCCTCAACTTATGATAGGGGTACGCTCCAATAAACCCATCATAAATTGAAAATATCCTAAGTGGAAAAAGAATTTAATACACCCAACCTACCCAACATCATAGTTCTGTCGAGCCCACTTTAAATGTGTTCAGAACACTTAAGTTAGTTTACAGTTGAGCAAAATCATCTAACAAACACCTATTTATAAAGTGTAGACTATCTCATGTAACTGACTGAAAACTGTACTGAAAGTGAAAAACAGAATGGTTGTATGTGTACAGAATCGTTTTAAGGGTATGGATTATTTACCTTCATGACTGTGTGGCTGACTGGGAGCTGTGGCTCATTGCCACTGCCCAACATCACAGGAGAGCATCATACTGCATATTGCTAGTCCAGGAAAAGATCAAAATTCAAAATTCAAAGTATGATTTCTACTGAACACATACCACTTCCACACCAACATAAAGTCAAAAAATCAGTAAGTGGATGAAGGGGGGGAAATCGGAGGGGGAGATGAACCATGAGAGACGATGGACTCTGAGAAACAAACTGAGGGTTCTAGAGGGGCGGGGGGTGGGGGGATGGGTTAGCCTGGTGATGGGTATTAAAGAGGCCACGCTCTGCATGGAGCACTGGGTGTTATGCACAAACAATGAATCATGGAACACTACATCAAAAACTAATGATGTAATGTATGGTGATTAACATAACATAATTAAAAAAAAGTCTCAGTGACTAAAGCAGCACAGTGTGGTGCATGAACAGGAAGATAATCAATGGGATAGAGAAAGAAAAATGCAGAAATACACTCCAAAATATATAGGAATTTAGTAATAAAGTTTCAAGCAGTGGGGCAAAATAGACTATTTGACAATTGTCGTTGGGATCACCATATAGCCATTTTTGAAAAGGAAAAAGTTGGATTCGTATTTTATATCTTTCGCTAGGATAAATTCCAAATGGATCAATACTTAAAATGGGAATTAAAATAATAAAAATTCCAGAAAAAAAACATGGGAGGATTCTTTTACTACCTGAAAATAACAATGGCTTGAAATCCAGAAGTCATAAAATGAAAGAAAATAAATTCAACCACATAGAAATAAAATATCTTCTGCATGACAAGATATAAATAGCAAGTAAAAAACAGAAGAAAATATTTGTAACTCAGTCAGATGGTCTTATATAAAAAGAAGAAAATTTAGAATCTATATTTGCATTTGCTTCTGTATGTATAAAGAAACTGGAAAAATTCACTGAAAATGAAGAACAGTCATTGTTTATGGCAGAGGTGGAGTACTGGGTAGATGGAGGATAAGAATGGGAGAGGAACTTTTCATTGTATAACTCCTTATACGTTTTGACTTTTGAACCAAGTGAATATATTGCCTATCTGAAAAGTTACATTTTCAGAAAGTCTCTACTCTTATATAGCTTACTTTCCAGTGCAGGGAGACAGATAATAAGCGAATAAATATACACTTTGGATCATAGTGAGATAACTAAATCCATGAATTCAAGGACCTTGTTTAATATGCTTCATTAATCTTCATAGTGCC